AATCTTTCCACCAATTTCAGGAAGAGTTGAAGCAGATCGCTACCAAACACTAAGAAACAGAATATAAACTCCACATTCTACCCTAAGTGTTTTTTCTGGTTTCGTTATTTCTTTTTTCCAAATTTGAGCCGAGACTAGTATTTTCAATAGAAAGCACAGCTAACTTTTCCTCTTGTACTACGTGTACACATAATGCAGTGAAGTCACTTGCTTGTCATGCACTTCTCTAGCTCACCTGGACCTTGGGCTACTTAGCGAACATTGAATGTTTCCAGCTTACTCCGCTGCTCCGAGTAAGTGGAGGGAGATCAGAGACCTGACTTGACACCAGCTATTGCACCTCATCTAAGAGGAAACCTTATTTTGCTGCATATCAGTGCGCTAGAAAATTAGAGCAGGGCTGGAGCGGGGCTGGACGGCAACTCGGACAACAGCTGAGCCAAATTTGGAGGCAAAAGTTGTAACAAAATAAGTACAACAATATTCAAAGCAGCTACAGCATTAGGAAAAGATACACAAAAAGAAGCCACCTAAGACAAACGTTTACTCATTTATGCTAACATTTAGGTTAAACACACAAAGATGATACATTTGTGTCAGAAAAAGGAATTTGACTGCTATTACTGGAAAACACACACTGTACACTGTTTTAACAGGCAAGTCCAAGTGCATGAGTCCTTAAAGGAACACGGTTGAATGGTCAGGGGAGAAATGAGGGAGTTGTGCTTTTGCTTTGTTTTTTGGGGTTTGGGCTTTTTTCCTTAATTCATTTTAGTTTTTAAGCCAAAGCAGCTTTTTCTAGCATTGCTTCATCCTGCCACAGAAAGCAGAGTTCTACTGCAAACTCAGTATTAGACGTGTGCTTTGCTGGATGAGCCAAATTAAATTTTATTTAAAGCATGGGACAATGAAATAACACTTCAGATTCATTTCCTTTTAAAAACGCTCCTGGTTGGATTTCAAACGCTGGGAGAATACGGGCACAGAGGATTTGAGTTACAAAACCCCAACATTTTAATTAACTTCTTTATTGAAGACATGGAATTCAACAAAAATTCCCATCAGTATTCAGAAGCCTATTAAAAATAATCCAAGTTTTATGCCTAAAGTGATTAGTATCTGTTTCATAGTGGTACATAAGCAAAGAAATATTACATCTATATTATTCCCCCCCCCCCCCCAATTCAAGGTTATACTTTTCGTTTACCCTCTCAAATTTATACTAGGCTGTTTCTTCCCAACAAAAGAGCACGAGCCTTTGGTTTGCAGCTGGAACTGGTATGACCAGTAACCACAGGCCAACTGGGAAGCAGTGGCTGCTTAAGCCCTACAGCTTGAACACTTCCAAGCAGGTACCCGCACACTTAGGCTCAGTGTTTCTTTCCATAGGAACAGTCTATCCATGAGCCGTTGCTTCCCCACGCATCTCAAACAGAGATTCTCTAATTTAAGGACAAGAGGAGGCAGGTCATAAACTGAAGTCTGTATTACTTCCCCCCCCCTGCTCCTTTATAAGCACACAGCAAACCTCAAATTTAAAACATCTAATTCTGCAGCAATACTCCACTCTTCCACACGAAGCCCTGTGTTAGCCTGCACCCATCCACACAGGCTGAAAAATTACTGACCTGTATCATGTACAGCTGCGCAATTCGATATTCTTCCAC